GGAGCCTGTTTTCATACTTCAGTTTACCTGTGTTTAGCAGAAGACACAGCAGATCTTCTCAAGCTCCCTTCCATTTATAGCATTAAAAGAGTACTCCTCTGGACATATGCAGCAGGGTCCTAAAACTCTACACTAACACAAACAAGATCATGTCAGACACTGCCAAGGAACTCACAGAGGTGGAACTTCAAGACAGGTTCAGATCTTCAGCGTCTTCTATGAGAACAATCCATGGGAAGCAAAGGGAGGGTCTGTAGAATGCAAACAAGTCACCACTGGAGTGACAGATTATTGCCACCAGGGGACTTCTTTTACCTTTTCTGTTGTACCAAATTCATCTTTCCCGCTCTGTTCTTTATGAAACTTGAAATATTCAGATCTTATTTTAGTTTTCTTATAAATATCATTGCTTCTTGTAATCTTGATCTCCTTCATGTTAATAAACTGGAACAAATCTTACTGTGACAAGAGTAATGGATTTTCCTGAAAAGTATAATTGTGTGTATGAAGGAAAGAGGTACAGAAACTGGGAAGAGAAGGGTGGAGAGAAAAACGCAAACGGAATCTGGAGGGGAGGTGAAGAAAGAGAGAGAGACAGAGACAGACAGAGACAGAGACAGAGAGAGACAGACATAGACAGAGAGAGACACACAGAGAGAGACAGAGACAGAGAGAGACAGACATAGACAGAGAGAGAGAGAGAGAGAGAGAGAGAGAGAGAGAGAGAGGAGCCAAAGGGAAAAATGACTAAGAAAGGTAAAGTTAGAGACACAGTAGTTGACTCATTTCTTCTTTGTTTTCTTGTCCACAAAGGGGTGTGCAATGGAAATGATGAGGACAAATGAGTTGGGTGGGAGTGGCCAAGGCATCTCATGAAGGCAAATATAGAGTCATCATTTTTTAAAAAATCTTCTTGGACTTTTCTTTCTTTCTTTTTCTTTTTTCAAGACAGGGTTTCTCTGTGGCTTTGGAGGCTGTCCTGGAACTAGCTCTTATAGACCAGGCTGATCTCGAACTCACAGAGATCCACCTGCCTCTGCCTTCCAAGTGCTGGGATTAAAGGTACACACCACCAATGCCAAGCTTCTTGGACTTTTCTAAAAGATGGCAAGACTATTGACTCCAGGTAAAAGCTGGACCATCCATTCTTCCCAAGGCCAAGAATGTGGGTTTTTGATCCTAGTATTTTGCCTGAAGAAGTCTAAAAGCAATGACCTGAATGATATTGATATTATCAACCATGAAATCAACTCAAAAGTCCTGTGGCATCCAAATATCTTGACATTTTATGATGTTTTCATTTTTACTTATTTCCGTTTTATTTCCCCAGTGAGAGGGTGAAATCTTTGAGAACAATTTTTTTTAATGTGAGCATGGGACCCCAATCCCAGAAGACATTCAGTAAAATGATATTTAATTGCTGGTTCACCATCCTTAGGCAGATTTTAGGAATCTGCATCAATGGAGAAATGATGGATATTGGAGGAATCCAGCCAATAAAGTTTGACCATTTATAGAAGAAATAGGTGCAGTGAGCAGGCTGACATGCACAGAAAAGAGGAGCTCATGTCTGAGCAACTCAGGACTGCTGATGGAGCCTGGCCAACAGAAAGGGGGTCATATCAACAACGCAAATAAGTCTTGGCCCACAAACAAGTCAACATAGCAGGGGTGGGGTTGGCTCCAGCTAAGAGTAGAGAATCTACCTAAGCATCTTTGAGAGATTCAGGATGTCTCTGTTGCTTGTGTGGACAGTGGGGTTTCAATATTCCAGTCTTTTTTCTCTTTGAGGAAATCTGGCACACTTAATGCATTATAAGCTGTCATTACAGGTTTAGAGTGCTCCTGGAAAGCTCTTAACTTGTGCAGGGACATTTGTCCCTGTGCCAGGTGGCTTCAGACTGCTATATTTTCCTAGATGATTATTTTTCTTACTCTTTCTCACTGATCCTTTTTCATTCCTCTTGCATTTTCTGTTTTCTTATTTCACTCATAAATGAAGGAGAGCTACAAGGAAGCTGTCAGTGTCCTTGTCAACAGGTCAACTTTTATTCCTATGAGGTATCTTTTGGGAGCTTGTCCCAGTCCCCTAAGCTGAGGTAGGGCTTCTGCAGTGTGCTTTTCTGACTAAAATACCTACCATTCTAAACAGGGACTTGTTCAGTGGTCTGGCCTTGCCATCAGCTTGTGTGTTCACTGAGGGCAACAGCTGTACTCTCATGACTCTTTGGTGTCCAGGCCACTGCTCTGTGACTGAGAGTTCAATGAGTATTTATTGTATGTGAGAACCAAGAGGAATCCCAGTCTCTTCTACAGAATAAAACACTTCTCTCCATGCTGAGACAAAAGCCCGATTGCTGGATCAGCAGAGACAGGGTGGTATTAAGGGCTTCTCTGCTTCAGCCCAGATTGTTTCCTCATGGCAACCCATTTACCTAACCTTTGTACATCCATTCCCCTGATCTTTGCTTCTCATGTTCACTTAATGTATTAGAAGCAGGAATTATAGGTTTCTAGTACGTTGGACTCAGAGACTAGGCCTTGCTATGGTGCCTTTCCTGGCACAAGAGCCATTGATTTCTAGTATCAGACAATTGGGGTTTGAGGTCATGTTGCCATTATCTTGTATAGTGATGACTTCTTTTTCTTATGTGAAACAGATGACACCAGGGCTGCCAGGTATCACAGATATTGCCCTATCTGCCTCCTTTGAAGCAGAGGCTAGAAGCTCAAGAGGAAGTAACTATGTGACAGACCAGAGGAAGTCAGGCCATTCCACCTTCGTCTTTAGTATTTGTTACCATGTCAGACTATCTCAGCAAAGGTATTCTAGTTTCCATGTTAATCAGTGTGTGTGTGTGTGTGTGTGTGTGTGTGTGTGTGTTTACCACAATAAATGCCAGAAAAATCAACAGATGGTGGATAGTTTTATTATGGCTTGTGGTGTACGAGGTGTCAGTGCAAGGGTAACTGCATCCATTGTTTTTGTCCTGAGATGAGGCAGAATATGGAGTAGGTGATATGTCATATGGTCACCTCAAGGAAGCAGAGAGGAGAAAGGGACAGGGACAAAGTATGTTCTTTGATATCATACCTGCAGTGACTGACTTCCAACAACTAAGCCCCATCTCCTGCTTCCTACGACATAGTGCCGTCACATTATAAACCCATCAAAGGATGACTCCATCCATGGAGTTATTCCCCAAGGCTTCACTGCAAATGGAACCCTCAACATATGGGTTTTTAGGGACCTTTCAAGATACTTCCAAAATGTGAATGCTTTTCTAGGACTGCTGTGACAAATGGCCAAAACAGGATGCCTCAAGGCAGCATGCACAGAGAGACCACTCTGGGCCTGCCACCTGGAAAAGTTCCCAGTAGAGCTTAGAGCTCCTGAGAGGCTGGGGAGCACTTTTCGGTAAACATCAAGAGGTAGACTTTTCTCCACCAAACATCACTTCTTCTCACCAAGGTGGTTTTCCATTCTCAGCTTGGCCCTCCCCACCCTGATTCTTCTGAGAGAAAACTGTGTCAGATCCAGGGGTGAAGGAAAATGGCTTGTGATATGTCCTAGTTAGCTACTTGAGAAGAAAATGAGAGGAGAGGCAATGCTAGGCTTTGTGAACCATGTAGGCAGGCCTATACACAAACATGGGCTCATACAAATAAAACCAAACTGGCCAAAAATAACAGAGAAGGCGACAGATGCTTCCAATTAAAATGTCGGCTACTCCTTAAGAAGCCAAGTTCTCACATAGTGTGGGTGCTTGAGGGCCGAAGACTACTGGAAGGGACCACATATGGAAATTTGTTTGCATTATCCCATGTCCCAGATGCCATGGAAGACACTGCCTCGACCTTGCAATTAACACATTGGCTGTTTCTGGGGCGCAGTATGTGGATGCAGGGAGAAAACAGAAAATTGTAAAATAGAGTGGTTGTTCCCACTGGGTTTGATAGGAAACACGAGAACCAGGGAATATTATTCTATACACTTCTCTGCCTCAGTTTCCCCATGTTATTCACTGTTAAGGGAAAGTCAGTTTGCATCAATTATAGACACCCTTTGCTGGAACTTGAAGGAACTGCTGTCAGAGGGTATGAGTGTGTATTAGGAGGTGGGTGAAGGAGAAAGGACACCTTCCATCTCCCTTGGTGATGAGGGATGGTTATTATCATGGACTACAAGAAAAGCACACATAGCCACATCCTCCTTCCTACTGCACTTACAAAGCCTCGAAGAGTTGTTCCCTTAGTATCTGCTTTGCTATTTACTAATAAAATTTCTTCATTCTCCCTTCCACCAAAGGTAGCTCGTTTAATACCCACAGAAAGGTAGAACAATGGGGAAATTAATGAACTAGGACCTCATTTGTGTTTCTGTAGTCGGAGATGATAATTTGTTGGATTTAATAAGCTCCTGGATTGAATTGCACAGGGCAGTGCTGCTAGGTTTGGGTGCCCACTGGGTGAAAGTCAGATATTTTTGTGTGAACTCAAACACATTTTCATTTCTTACTGGTCACCATTACCAACCAGATAAGACTTAGCTGCATCAAACAAACACATGATTAGTTTTGACAACAGAAGCTTAAACAGGACGTTAATTAGCAGTCATAGAGTTGGGAAGGTTCTGGTTGGGAACAATTACACAGACAAACCCACAAGTATGGCTACAGTGTGCCAGGGTCCCATCCCTTACCATATGGCTGCAGTCTGGCAAATGGCTCGTTGGCAATTCATTACCATAGCGCTTGGAACTCAGGAGCGACTCATTTATGATTAGCCAATTCATTATGCTATCGTTGGTAGCTCAAGGGGACTCTGAGGGCTTGCCTCTCCCCGTTGTGTTATTTTAAGGACATATGACAGGGAAGGAACAACCATCCCTTTCCCAGCTGCCTCCGAGTACTGCTTGCTGGGAAGTTTGCTGGAATCTAGATAGAATCTTTCAAAAGGAAAACAAACAAGCAGAAACTCCCCACAGTCATAAACTGTAACCACGGCTGGAACTGTTGAAACATTCCAAGAGATAAAAACAAAGACCTCCTCCTCCTGTCCTCCATCCTACTGAGGCTGCCTGACCAACTTGTGAGTACGCTTCACAGCAACAGTGTGATGGGGCCTAGCTAAGGCCTAATGACCATCAGACCCAAAGACAGGAAGCAGAGTCTCCGGAAGGGGCTCTGTTATTAACTCACTTGGGAAGTTTGGTCGATCCTGCAGAATGGCTGTGTTTTATCTTATCTGCTCCCCAGCACCGAGGGAGCATTGTGAGAGAGGGGCTGCAGTGAGGAAAAGTAGTCTAAATCCACAAGGCTCATAGTGGTGAAGCGGATCGTTATACTGCCAATGACCATCGACTGTAGGAGACTGAGCTTTCATTCATGAGCACACGTGGGTGAGGAAGATGGGCACAGCCAGCCTCACTGGGAACTACTACTAAAGAGCTATGCTTCCTTTATCATTCGAATTTTAGCTGGGGTTTCCCACCAAGAGTACATGGGGTCTGTATAAGGCTTTTAAAAAGTGGATTTTAGGCCTGAAATGATAGTTCAGAGTCCAAAGTTGACAGGGATGCTAGAATGTCTGAAAATGCATGAAACATTAAGACAGTATGTTACAATGGCAAGCAGGCCCAAACACAAAGGACAGAAAAGGAGGGGAGGGCAGATAAGAACTCAGCAGTGGGTGACACTGTTGAGGTTTACTCAGAACATGGCTGGGAAAGAAGCTGTGCTGACTGAGGATGGGTTGGATGGGGTATAGGGTCCAGTTTAGTTAATATGGGTAACATGGAGGGACATTACAGAGCTTGTTATCTGAAACCCATTCCCTAAATCTACAAAGCCCCTTTCCAAGTAAAACCCTAGCACTGAGATAGGGTCCCAGTTTACTGAAGACATAAGTGGCAGTCCCAAGTATATCACCCTCCAGCACCATCAACCTGGTCTAAAAGAAGTACACCTGCCACATTCAACAGTAATTATGCACTTAATTAAGTCTAATTTTGTTTTCTTCTTCGAATTCATTGGGTCTCTGAGGAAGATTTTTCCATGGGCCATGTCTGTGGAAAGAGCTATCTGGGGACCTTGAAAATGATGCCATCTTCTTACAATAAATTTCCCTGGAGTTTGCAGCAGAAATATTTAAAAAGATAAAAGAATCTAAGTATCTTTCTTTGGAAATACACCAAAACAAAACAGGTCCTTCTGAGAATCTGTGCTTTTGGAAGACACCCTGATGAGAAAGTCTAGATGGGAGCAACAGTGACATTCTGTAAGCTTCAGCCGGCTCATCTACACAGTAACTGAATGATGAGCTGCATGTTGTTGACTAGCTGAACTCTACAGCGACGTTCCTTGCAGCAGCATAGTCTCTCTAACAGAGAGGATGGCAGAGGTCAAAGCCGGGCCTTTGCTTAAAGAATGCTAAAGAATAGGCCTGGGCACTCTTTAGTTTAAACGCTCTAGTGGCCATGACTCAACAGCGCTGCCCATGTTTATGATGTATGGGGATACAGTGACCCTTCTCAACAGCCCGCAGTGCAGCTGTGGGACTGTTCCAAGGCAAATGAGGTACATTAAATGGCTCGCCTGACCTGCTGAGTTCAAACAAGCATGTACTGTGTGCCAGATGCCCTCCTGGGCTCTGAGGTATGAAGAGGAGACTCATAGACCATGCCTTGCAGGAATTCAGGTCCCTCCCCCACCCCTGAGATCATCTGCATTAGAAGCCGTGCAATTTCCCCAAAGGGATATTTCTGTTCCATTTCTTCCTTCTGAATCTGAACCTTCAGGAATGGCATGAATGTGTCTAAGAAGCCCTCCAGTGCCTACTCTGTGTTATTGAAGTTCACTATGGGGGAAGTCATGGAATGGTAGAATGTAGACTTTGGCCTTTGTGGAGCTCTGTTATCTTCTACATGCTTCAAAGTTTGCAGGCAAATGGATGGCACTAGAAGAAGCCATCCTGATTGAGGTAACCCAGTCACAAAAAGACAAACATGGTATGTGCTCACTCATTTATGGATTTTACACATGAATCAGGGGAGGGCCAACATACAACACCACTGCCAGAGAGTCTGGAAACAGAACCTTCATCCAGCGACTGATTGAAAGCAGAGGCAGATACCCACAGACAAACACTGAACTGAACTCCTGGAATCCAGTGTCAGAAAGGGAGAACTGTTGGGCAAAGGAGTTAAGACTGGGCTGGTTTAATCCACAGAAACATTTGACGTGAACAAGGGACCCCAGAATGATGGCTGTGTGGAAAGCATGGGACTGACCCAGACAACCTGAATGTGGGTGTCAGCGAGGAGGCCTAGGTAATCTATGGGGCCTTGGGTAGTATTTATCACTGGCGTACAAATAGACTTTGTGTGCCATGCCAGAATGTAGGATGCTCTCTCAGCCTGAACTCTTGAAGGAGGGTCTCGACACTGGATGACAAGACAGACTCTAGAGACCCACCATGTAGGGCTTCACCCTCCCTGGTGACTGGAGTGGAGATTGGTTGGGGGACTGGGGAGGGGTCTGGTGGGGAGCCATGGGAGGAGGGTTGGGAGAGGGAGCTGTGATTGACATGGGAAACATGCTTGTTTCTAACTTGAATAAAAAACAGGAGAAAAAAGAAAACCAATTTGATTATGGCTGCACACATTTGTAATTTCTGCACTTGGGAGGCAGAGGCAGCAGGATCACTATAAGGTTGAAGCCAGTCTGGTCTATATAGTAAACTCCGGGCTGGACAGGGCTACATAGTAAGATGTTATCTTTGCTTAGCATTTTGAGCCTTTTATATGTTCTAGATTTTAACCTTCAGTTGGATAAATGACTGGCAAAGATTTCCTCCCATTCTGCACGTTTCTTGTTTACTTGATTCCCAATTTCCTTTGTTGTACAGAAGCTTTTTAGTTTCATGAGACCCAGTCTGTTGATGTCCTCCTCTACTCCCGTGGAAAGTCCTTTCCTGTGTGTATTTGTATATATGCTGAAGTAAATTCCTTACTTTTTCCTTCTTATGTTGAGGTCCTTGATCTATTTGTTGTTAAGTTTTGTTAAGAGTAGAGATAAGATTCTACTTTAATCTTTCTGCACTACCACAGCTCGATTTGTTGAAGATTTTATTTTTTTGTCCAAGGTATATTTTTGGAGTCTTGGTAAAAGAATCTAGGTAACTCTTATTGTATGTATTTAGCATCTGAGTCCTCAAGTCTACTCCACTGATCTAAGTGTCTGTTTCTGTACCAGCACCATGGTATTTTCATTACAATGGCTCCATAGTAAAATGTGAAATGATATATGGTGGTGATACCTCCCATAGTATCATTTTGGTTCAGAATTGCTTTGTCTATCCCTAGTCTTTAGTGTTTCCATTTCAAATATTTGAATTGTTTTCTCTATGCCTGTGAAGAAAAAAATTTCAACAGAAGAAATAATAAACGGCTAGAGAAATACTTTAAAATGTATTTCTCAACCATCAGGGAAATGCAGATTAAAACTACTTAAGATTCCATCCCACCCCTGTCAGAACAGCCATCATCAGGAATACAAATGTCAACAAATGCTGACACGGAAGGGTGAAAGGGGAACCCTTCTACATTGTCCATGGGATGGTAAACTAATGTAGTCACTTTGGAATTCAGTCTGGAGGTTTCTCAAGAAGCTAGAAATAGAACTGCCACATGATCCATCTATACCACTCCAGGGTGTGTACCCAAAGGATATTACCCTGTTGCAAAACATCTTTTACATGCTTGCTTTTGGCCACTCTATTCACAATAGTGAGTGAACATAATAGACCCAGATGTCCATTAAAAGATCAATGCAAAAGAGAAAAATGTGAAATTTGCAGATCAGTATATGGCACAACTCTCATCAAAGAAGTTTCTTTAAGTATGTGGTGATTATCATAGAAACCCACAAGATGGGCAATGTTGAGAGAACAAGAGATTTTGAAGCACCCATCCAGAAATGGGATGATCCCTACTCTCAGAGCTCAGGGATCTATATAGAAGAGAAGGCAGAAAGATCATGAGAATTTGAGGTGGTGAATGACCACAAGGAAATAGTGTCTTTAGACACAAGAGAGCTAATGCACATATGAACTCATATACATTGTGGTGCACACATGAGGCCTTTACAAAGCCCAAGTCAGACAAAAACCCCAGAACGGAAGAGAGAAGGTGCCACCTGTGGAGTAATGTGGTACATACACACAGTGGAATATTACTCAGTTGCAAATAGAAAAGAAACAATAAAATTTGCAGGCAAGTGGATAGAACTATAAAATAATCATAATGAGTGAAGCAACAGATCCTAAAAGACAATTGCCATCTGTTCTATATACATTCTAGCTTCAATTGCTTCTGTGCTTAACTTGGAGCACGGGTGGAGATGAGAGAGTGGCCTTGGTGGGGATTCATGAAGGGAACAGTGGTTAGGAGAGCACAGGGAAAATGTAGGAAGAGAGGTGGCAGATTGGATATGGAAAGCCTTAAGCCTGGAGGAGCTGGAGAGTCTGGGGGAAAAGAAATAGGTCTGCAACATCCCTCACAATGGCCATGCTTTAATCAAGACTCACTGGGTGCCTTTCTCCCAAGACTTTCTTTTCCTCTCCCAAGGGAAGAGACCACTTAACACAGTAGAGAGATATAGCTGTACCAAAGACTTTGAGATTGCTTCACTTTAGGAAGAAACTTTGCAGCTCTGAGTAGTTCTCAGCTTTGGCCCAGATCCTCCTCCATCCTCATGTGTGTTCCAGGACCACAGCCACTCTTGCTTGTCTGTTTTTTTTTTTTACAGAGTTCTATGTTTCCCCTGCATCCCTGTGAATAGACACGGTGCAATGCTCTGCTCGGCAATGTGCTACAGCATAGACACTTCCAGCTACACAGAAATGTATACATTTTCTGCAGAGATAATGTTGTCATTTATTTTGTAGGTATGTTTTAAGCGAGTGTTATTTCAGAAAGATTGCAAATGTGAGGCTATGTCTTAGGTTCTGTCTTCCTACTTATCTACAGTACCATAATAACAAAAGTCCCTTAGGAGAACTCTTATGGACAAGACAAGTACATGGTCACTCTGTCTTTTGCGGGGGCCTAACATTTGGAGAGGGCACTGACATCATTGGGGAGCCATCTTACCAGACGGAAGTGGCTTGAATTTGGAGCCCTCTTTGTTCCTCACCCTCATTGTGATCTTGGAAAAATATTATCCCCTCTAACTCTCAGACAAATGAAATCATAAACTCATACAAAGAGTATTATTAGGTGTGTTTATTGAAAAGGTATAGGCAATTTTCTTGTTTAAATAAACGTTAGCTTCTCTCCTATTTCCTTACTGTCTTTCCTCTGCATCAGCTTAAGAACTCTCATCTCTCTTTTACATTCCTCCTCTTATATCTCCTCTCCCCTCCCCTAGCAGATGATCTCTTCTTTCTCACAGCAACAAGATAGACCATGAAGAAAAGGCAGAGTGATTCCACTTAATCTCCCTGCTAGTCTCTTTGCTTCTCTTTTCTACTCCTAGTACTTGATAGCTCAGCTGGGCATAGAAGGGTCTAGGAACAGAGAATGCTCAGCGGGGCTGGAGAGATCAGTCAACTGGTCAAGAGTGTACCTTCACGAGTACACATGTTTGATGTCAAGCACCCACCTGAAAAGTTGGGTGTGAATATGTGTGCTTATCACAGTGCTGAGACTCATTGGGGTTCACCTGCCAGACAACCTGACCTACACAGCAAGCTCCAGGTCAGGGAGAGGCCTCAGACAGCAAGGTGGATGGCACCAGAGGAATGACATGCCAGCTTGACTTCTTCCTCCACATGAATGTGTACTCACACATTTACACACAGAAGCAGGCACACACATATAGCATGCCCACACAAATGAAATGAGAGGAAAGCAAAATGGTTCTAGTCTCCATGCTGTGTTTCAGGAAGCTATGAAAACGGACACATCTGCAGGAGACCACAGACCCTCCTGTATCAGGACAAAGCTGGGCCTTCAGGCTATAAAGCATTTTATAGCTACCCAGCACATTAGAGACATACTACTGCTCTGTGGGATGAGTTTGAATATAGGCCAGTGGCTGGGGTGGTGTTGGTGGTTTCTGTAGAGGATAATCTTTCTCACATGCTGTATTCTTTTTCTCCCTGCTTCCTCTTAAAAAACAAGAAGCCAATACTATCAATTTATTTGCTGCTTCTTATAATTACATTATCCATGATGAACTCACTAGAGTCTAATTTGAGTCTGGAGTTATTTGGTAGGAAAACTGTCACTGGGCACCGTGGGACACTTGTGAGTACAGCCTTACTCTGTAGGATGCATGGTGCTTAGTTAGTGCACTTGGAAAGGGACAAAGAAGAAGATGAGAAATGGCAGGTCCCCCAGTCTTGCTGAGCTGCAAAGTCCTTCCACATTTATTGTTTCATCTGGTACTACCACTAGTGTAGCAGGATTGCTGTTATCATCTCCGGTCCACGCCCCAGGGAATGCAACCAGGTCAAATCATAACACAGTGCTCTAGATGGAATTAAAACTCATATAGACATCCTGCTGGTCCCTTTCTCCCAACACACCATCTCCAGGGATATCGATTCATGATTTTAGTTGAGATTATTATTATTTTTTTATTTTTTGCAGTATAAATGTTCCTTCACAAATGATGAAGTTGCATTGTGATAAGCTGAAAGCATTGGGAGATGAAGACTTAGTTAACACATGTGACCTACTGAACATGGTAGCTCACTAATGCAGTATGCCACTGCAGTATGTTTCTGCTGGAGAGAGCTGTGCCAACCGGGTGTTCCTAGCACTGTAGGAGAGCACCACACAGCATATTACCAGTCCAGAAAAAGAGCAAAACTCAAGGTATGTTTTCTACTGAATGCGTTTTGCATTCAAATCACTGTAAATGCAAAGCCTTAAATAATTTCTCAAGTTGCCTGTGCTGTTGCCTGGCAGGCTCTTGTTTCTTGGTGCCTTCTCATGCCCCCAGGTGAGAAAGGCTGGTGTCCACTCACTTTTCCTTTCCTTTCCCTCTTTCTTAAATCGTTCACTATTTTAAACACATAATGCTGACTTTATTTTACTTTTTAATTAAACAAATAAAATGCTACACATATACTTAAATTCTTTCCCCATTCTCCAGGAGTCTATTTTACTTGTTTTTGAAAAACATTGTCCTGAACTTGTTTGCATTATTCTGTGCTTTTATGCTTTCACCGTGCCTGTCTGAAGTGTACTCAGTGACATTGTTTTATGTTTTACTTATGAATGTAAATGGCATATTAAATTTTTTACCTATCTAGTATTTATTTATTTGTTTATTTCAGTGATGGAGATGAAATCTAGGATCTACTGCATGTTGGGCAAGGACTACATCATTGGATTGTTCCTTTCCACTACCATATGGTTTGTTATTTTTAAACTCAGTATAGACTTTGAAAGACCATTTTTCCACATACATGTGTACAACTCATGTGAACTTCTGTGGTTTTTTCATTGCCATGTTAATGAACATTTAGGTTGTCCCACTTTTGATATTACAAAGATGTCACAATAGACATAATAAATAAATGTATTACAAATATGTAACAGTAGATATTGTGCCATAAACTTAGTTGCATTAAGGCATGCATCTCTTCACTTCTCGGAGATATTAGAAACAGTTTGAAGTCTCTTCAGGGTAAGGATACCTTCTTGGCACTGTCAAACCTTTGAATTTCTGATAATGAGATAGGCGTAAAATGGCACCACTCTGCTTTAATTGGCATTTCGCTGGTAGATAACAGAGCAGGGCACCTTTTCATGCAGCTGCCAGCCCCTCCAAATCCATCACCTCTCTTTTAGTGTTGCTTAATGCATTGCTGTATTAAGCTCTGCAGAAAACTTAAATTTTGACACCATCCAATCTGTCATTTTCTTTTGTGTTTGTTTTCAATATTAAGAAATTCTTCCCTGATGACCTGGTATAAAAATACTGTCTTGAATTTTATTACCGTGTTTTAAAACTTAAAAAAAGGTCTAGCTTTTTAACTTTCTGGGATTCCTTTACAGTATTTATCATTTTTGTTTGAGGTGGAATTCTAATGTTAACTTTCCAATATAAAAAGCTGTTCTTTTGACGTTGTGGGTCAAACACCCCACACCTCTCCTGCTTATTTGTAATCACCCCATCGTGTGCCAGATTTCCAAACACGCATTCATTACTTTCTTCCTGAACCTTCTAGTTATCTCCAACAGGTTCTGTATCTCTACGCCTCTGTCATAATCTTATGTTATCATTTCGATGCCTGTGACCTGAGTCACTATTCCTTGTAGGCTACATTAAATTTTTGGATGTTTTTGACCCTTTAAACTTTCACATTAATGTTGCACACTCTTTTAATAAACTGATCCTTCCTGCCAGCCTGGAGAGTTCTCTACTGCTCCATCTAATCCAAATACAACTGCCCTTAAAGTTAGGTCCCAGCTATGCCTCTGCTATCAAATGGCGATCTGTCCTTGGGTAAATCATATGACTGCATTGAGTTTTGCTTCCTTAACTGCCCTATGCCTGCCTGGCAGGGTTGCTGAGCTGATCAGGTGAGACACAAGTGTGAGAGTGCTTCTGAGAGTTCAAAACAAGTCAGCTCCTCCCGCAGCTCCACCATGCCCGGTCCCAGCCTCCTACCCTATCCTCTTTCACATAGGGGATATCCAGAGTCTGTCATTTCGCTCAGGGCAGGGTCCAAGCACTCCCCTAAGAGTCCAGGCTGAGAAAGCATCACTTTTTGTGTTATGGACACACGAAGTAGGTTTGTATGCCAGGGATAAGTACTGATCTACTGCCCAGGGCCCCATAGGTTGCCCAGGCCTCCTCACTGACTCTCACACTCAGGAGGTCTGGATCAGTCCCATGCTGACCTCCCAGCTGTACAGAGCTCTTTTCTGTAGGACTTTATTGTAATAATGGGCTACAGACAGCTTACCTTCACAGGGCCTGAGTGACAGGCAGACTTGCACTTTGAGGCAATAAGAACTCATATTTGAAAGTCAATTTCTTCACCTGAACAAAAGGCATGATCCTTATTCCCACCCATCAGTGCCATGAAATTCCAAAGAAAATGTAAGTAGAGGTACTTCATAAAATGTGAGGCCTTTTAAGGATCATAGGTGTCATGAGTGTTTATCCTGACATTTGCATGTGGGAAAAACCCTGCTTCACCAGTGTTACTTGAATCAAGGCATGCAGGGAAATCTAACTCATTTTGTTACCAAGCATGGTTTGTCCAGTGTAATGTCTATACATGCTTTGAGAAGATGTAGGAGCTCTCTCTCTCTCTCTCTCTCTGCCTCTCTATCTCTGTCTCTGTGTCTCTGTCTCTCTCTCTCTCTTTTCTGGTTTTTCGAGACAGGGTTTCTCTGTATTATTTTGGAGGCTGTCCTGGAACTCTCTTTGTAGACCAGGATGGCCTCTAACTCACAGAGATCTGCCTGCCTCTGCCTCCCAGTGCTGGGATTAAAGGCATGTGCCACCAATGCCTGGTGAGCTCTCTCTTTAAAATATTATTATTTAATAGTTGTTGTAGGAACTCCTTCTATAAAATATTATTATATCTATTATTAAATGGTTGTTGTAAGAACTCTCTTTAAAATAATGATTATTATTAGTAGTAATAATAAACAGCTGTTTTTGAGTTAGGCCTTCACTTTGTGGGTAAGGTTGTCCTTGAACTAATAACCCTCCTGTCCCTGGCTCCTGAGTGTTGCGATTGCTGGCATACACATAGCTGCAGTACTTGGCTTGAAGTCCATTATTTTATTTCTTTTTCTCTGTTTTTATATGCATATGGTGTGTGTGTGTGTGTATGTGCTGTGTGATATGTACATGAATGTGAATGTGGGCACATATATGTCAAAGCACACATAGAAGTTAAGGAACAATGTTCAGAAATCAGCTCTTACTCCCCCCCCCCTTTTTTTTGGCAAGGTCTCCCTTGTTTCTTCCACTCCACAGTGTACTGCAGGCTAGCTGCACTGTGAGCTCCCAGGTGGCTTTCCTGGTCACTTGGATTACAGATGTGCTTCTGACTTTATGTGGGTTCTGAACATAGGTCATCAGGCTTAAGTGGTAGGCACTTTTGTCCACTGAGCTGTCTCTCTGGTGAATATCGTTTCCTGACTTCAGGGTCTGGAAGTGTGGAGAAGTGGAGGTGTGTGAGTGATGCCTGAAGTCTGTCTGGACCTGTATGTGGATGCTGGACTCAGCACTGACCTGAGCGAGTGAGAACCCTGCGGGTGCAAGAGTGGAAACAAATCCGTCTTTGTCTTGCCTCTGTGAGTGCAGACTCGATTCAGTTAAACTGAGCACCGAGGTCAGCCCTGAGATAATGTGAGAGTACCACCCCCGGAGTGAGCATATGGCTCTGCCACACTTCTTTCTGACCCTTGCATCTCTCACTCCTGTGCCAGGATCAGCCTTGGACTTGGTCCAAATGACATTCATAGGCCAGATGATACAACACCATAGCCTGCTCCTTAATCTATTAATAATACAAAATGTCCTTTCCTTGGTAATTAAGTTCTTGCCTTTAGTTCTATTGAAACAGAATTTCTCATCAGCACTCCACCCACTTCCCTGGCTGACCCTGCTTTCAACTCAATTGAGAAGTTGTCGGGCCTCTAAGTTCCCATTACAACTGCCTACCCTGCCTCTGCCAACAGCCACTTCTCGGTTGTAGTTTAGACAGAGTCATGGATTTCTGACTTAGCTTTGGATCTTAATCCAATAATTCATCATCTGTGTTTTTAATAATGGAGCCAACACCATTGATCTTCATCTATCCCCATGTTGCCCTTGCCCAGTTTTGCTTGAGTATTCATGCAATATTAATACAATTCTACTCTTCTTCTAAACCCCTTCTTGTCTAATATTAAAATATAGATGAAATGCTGGGCTCTTTCCCTGCTGACTCCTAAGTTCTTAATTCTAGGACCACTCTGTGCTTTCAGAAGAAGTGTTTCATTCCAAATAGACCATAGCCAACTGGTTTTCTTCTTTTCACATGGAAACATGAATCTTAGGAATGGATTTTATGGGAGAGGCTTGCTTGGATCCTTCAGCTTGAATAGAAGACACATCACCCTAGCATTTGGAGGCTGTGTGGGGAATAAGGTCGATGGGTTATACTCTTCCTTAACAGGACAGATCACATCTTGTGACTGCTTGATGTGGTCAGAGAAACCAAAGAGAGAAGAGCTTAAAGACTGAGCCACTCCTGACAATTCTACTTTAGAGGTCTCTATGGAATGAGTGGAAGCTTTTTTACACACCCTGCCTCCTTCCAAATATTCCTGCCTCCTTCTCTTCTACTCCCATGTAAAAAAAAGCTGGTTGTGAGAACTCCCCTCCAACATAGAAGCTTTTATCTCAGAGACAATCCAGGGGGCCTATAACAGGTATCTACAAATATTTTTTTCTCAGACAGCACACAATTGACTTATCATGTTTTCTCTTTTCCGCCTGTGACAGACAAAACAGTGCCTGCCCCTACTCAAAGATATGTACATCTGCATCCCCATCAGCCTGTGCATGTGGTATTTTAGGTGTCAAAAGGATGAAAACCATAGATCCAGCTCAGTCATGTGAGGCCTTAAAAGCAGAAAACTGCTTCCAGCTGTAGTTGGAAATGTGATTAGAGAATTGTCAAGAGAAATGCAACAGTATCAAATTTAGAGGTAGAGAAAGAAGTCACAAGCTAAGAAACATAGGCAGTCCCTAGGAGCTGGAAAGGGAAAGTAAATGGGCTGTTCTTAGAGTTTCTAAAATAAAACCAGCCATGCAAGTATCTTGTTTTTAGCCAGCGAGATCCATATCAGACCTCTGACCTACAACACTGTAAAGTTGCTTTAAATCTCTAAGTTTGTGGTACTTGTTACATCAGTAATAGGAAACTAGTGTGGTCCCTTATGAATCAACTTAATACTTGTTCTTTTTTTATAACCTTAGACGTGTCCTGTGCCTTCATTTTCTCATTTATAAAATAGATATTTTGGGTCATGTGCTGTAAAGCTCCGTATAGGTTGACATCATATGATCTTAACAGGCTGGGCTCCCTGATTTGCAATATTTACTTATGTTTACAGGTACCGAGGGAGGTGAAACTGGCTGAAGCATGGGAAGCATTCTCATCTGGCTCTACTTACCTGTTTTTTGATTTGGTTTATAAATTTCCTATTCTCACAGCTCCTCATAGTCATGAGAAAAGTTCTCATCAGGTGGTGATCAATTTGTGACTCTAAACATAGTGACTAACATGTTTTTATCTTTTTTATTTTTCATTAGTGGACTTACAACTACAATTTTAAAAATGTTAATTCTGAGGATAGTTCATTAAAAGATATAGACACCAAGAGTAGAGGTGAGGCTGAACATATCATGTCCTGACTGCAGAGAAAGTGAAGTAAGTCATCACTTAAGATATTATTATTATTTGTCTGTGTGTGTAAGGACATGCCATAGTATATGTAGAGCAGTCGGAGGTCAA